ACCGCCGGGGCTGTGGGTATTTAGACCGAGGAGCGAGGTGATGACGATCAATGGAGTATCAGCGGTCTTGAAGAAGGACGGCTTTAAGTTGAGAGAGCTCATCATGGCAGTGCCCACGAACTACCTCTGGAGTGATGTGCGACGACGTGGTGAACACGGACTGGGCGGAGGAGGAGCGCTCGCTATGATGCGAGCGCCAGGCATGGAGATTCATATGGCGCGGTGTGATGAGAGCAATGCATTCTCTTCGGTCCTCTTGCCTGAGTGGATGTGGAAGTGGATGGCAACTCCTGCCATCCCAGCTGCAGCAGTATGGTCCTTGTTACCCGTGGACATGAGGAGCGGTCTCCAGGAGTGGTCTCTAGTGTGCCCTTGCTACACCAGGCTGCCGATGGGGTTGTCTCATGCCGTTCACATCCTGATGTGCATCAACCTGGAGGCAGCGGGGAGGACGCTGGTGAGGTCGGCCGCCCTAGGAGAGCCCAAGGAGAGCCAGTGGATCGATCTTCCGGACGAAGCTGTCGTGGAGGACGTCGAGTGGGTCAAGAAGCAGGCCTTGGGCCGTGCTGAGCGGCGTCAAGAGGCTGGGCTCTCCCCCGAGGCCTTCCTGGTTAAAGTCCGTGAGCTGAAGCGGGAGCGTCACCGAGTGATCATCGCGCTGCACACGTTCGCGGGCGGCCGGAGGAAGCTGGACATCCAGCACTACGTGGAGGAGTTTGCCGTCGAATATGGGGTTGCGATCTTTTTCTTTGGAGTGGATCTTGCCTTTGATCATAGGTGGGATCTGGCGGACCCCAAGCTGATCGCCATGCTGATGGAGATGATCGAACAGGGCCTCATTGACATCATCCTTGGCGCCCCCCCCTGTGCCACGTGGAGTAGAGCGCGCTTTCACGGAGGAGGTCCTCGTCCACTCCGATTTCGGTCGGAGCCGCTGGGCAGGAGCGACCTGTCGAAGGAGGAGCGCGCGAGAGTCACGGAGGCGAGCGTGCTTCTCTTCAACCTGCTCGCCTTGTGCGACGTGGAGGAGCAGCACGGGGGGGGCTACCTGTTCGAACACCCCGCGGACCCGGAGGAGGAGCCGTACCCGAGCATCTGGGACCTGGAGGCAGTGAAGGGCATGCTGGGGCGACACGGCGTGCGCACCACCAGGATCGACCAGTGCATGTACGGGGGACCGGCACAGAAGCCCACTACGCTGGCTTCGAACTTGGACGGCATTCAAGAGCAGGCGTTGCTGTGTGATGGGAGACACCGTCACGAGAAGGCCTACGGGAAGAACGAGCGCGGCATCTTCAGGTCGCGCCGGCTGCAGGCCTACCCGCCTGGCTTGTGCCGCACGATCGCCCTCAGTGTAGTCAGGACGGCGCTTCGGATGCTGACCACAGGCCGGGGACCAGGAGGGTGGCTCAGGACGGGGCGGGAGAAGCCGCGTCACACCCAGTGGAGCTTCGAGAGCGAGAAGGAGGGCCTCTTCGTGCTGAACGAGCTGTACCGCCGGGGCGGCAGTGTGAGGCTGCGCCCAGGCTTCCAGGCGATCTACGTGCACGTGGACGACGGGCTCAACATAGCGGCTTGCCGCAGAGGCGGGTCGGCTGACGTGGTGAGTGAGCAGATGATGCAGAAGGTCGCCGACGCCTGGGAGCAGGCCGGCTTCGTCGTCAACGAGCGCGAGAGGATCGAGGAGGGCTCGAAGATCGTGGGCTACGAGTTGCAGAACTTTCCGCCTCGCCTGAAGCTGGCTAGTGGCAAAGCCAGCTGTTTGGAGGCGGCACTTACGTGGATCATGGAGACGCCCTGGGTGGACGTGGAGCTGCTCAGGGCTTTGGTGGGTGTGTGGCTGTAGGGGGCGCTCTTGAGGCGCGAACTCATGGCCATCCCTGCCGCTGTGTTCGACCTGCTCGAGAAGAGGCAGGGTCAAGTCGTGTGGTGGTGGGCCTCCGCCCGCCGCGAGGTGCGCGTCATGAGAGACATGATCCCGATGATGTCGTGTGTCTTGGATCTTCCGGCAGCGCCCGTACTCTTTGCTTCGGATGCGGAGGGCGCCAACCGAGTCGACCACGGCGGGTACGGCATCGTCGTGACGCCCATCACCCAGAGTGAGTCAGAACAAGTCATCGGAGCGGGTACGAGGCCTGGGCATACAATTTCCAGGCTGGACGGCACGGCCCTCCATTTGAACCGTGCTGATCGAGAGCTGCGTGGCCGCATCCCGGTGTCACGCATCCCGCGAGAGCTGCTGCAGATCCCTCAGGAGATGTGGCACGAGCTGGACGCGGGACGCTGGCGCTCGCCTGACCACATCATCTTGGGAGAAGGCCGAGCCGTGGTCAGACTTTGTCAGGCGCTCTCTCTTCTTCCAGGAGCTCATGACCACGCTATCTGCAACATGGAGGATAATGAGCCGTTGTCCTCAGCAGCAGCAAAGGGGCGTTCATCGGCCCCGCATCTCAACTACCTGCTGAGGAAGATTAGTGCACTTTCAGTGGCAACAGGCATCAAACTATACCTACCCTGGGTGGACACCGCACACCAGACAGCTGATGAGTTGTCAAGGAGGAAGCGGAGTGGCCTGGTGCGCTCGGCGGGTCGGACCTCGTCGAGTCGACCCTGACCAGGCCGCGCGGGTGATTGAGAAGACTTTAGAAGTATATCGCAGCGCTGGGCTTCGGTTTTCGACCTGGGCCCTCCAGCGCGGCCTGCGTCCCAGCGGTGCTGACGAATGGGACGACCTTCTAGTTGAGTTCAAAAATGATCAGATTGAGAACCTCACTCCAGCGAAATTCGTGAATACAGTTGCAGCAGTTGAGTTCTTCTTCCCTCGCATGCGGGGGAGACTGTTGTGGAGCAAGGCTGTCATTGCAGGCTGGGAAAGAAATGTTGGACGCAAACATACGGTGCCTCTCGGGAAGTTGCCTGGTAAGCTCCTCGGGGTTCACATGGCCGCCAGGGGGAACCCGCGTCTGGGCCTTGCTCTCATCGTGCAATGCCATACGGGCTTACGCCCCTCGGAGCTCTTGGGGATACTACCGGAGGACCTCATCTTCCCTCGAGACTTGGGCGAGAACATCAACATCGCCTCGGTCTCTATCGCTCTTGGGGCTCGTACGGGGACAAAGCTCAAGAGGCCCCAGGTGGCGCGCATATTCCAGGAGGACAGGGACATCATGGAGGTGCTTGAGGAGATCACGAGGGCCACCCCAGCTGGGACTCCGCTCTTCCCCTTCAGCCTAGCCCAGTATCGTAAGACTCTCAAGGACACCGAGGGCTCGTTGGGCCTATCTATGGGTTGGGGGCCTCACAGCCCCAGAGCAGGATGGGCGAGTGACTCGAGGGCCGAAGGGCTCTCGTTTGAAGAAGTTCGGGAGAGAGGGAGGTGGATCTCAGATGGGAGTTTGCGCATCTATCTTGACATCGTCGGTGCGAGCCACATCCTCACCCAGCTAAACACGAAGGGCTTTGCGCAGCAGCTGCACTGGCTCAAGAGAGGGTGGCGCCAGTACTTTCCTGCGTTCGTCTGGGGAGCGCACCTTCCTCCAGGATATGGCGCCCAAGGGCTACGTCAAGGACAAGAACACTGGGGGGTGGATCAAGGGCCCAGACTTGACGGAGGAGAACGTGCCACCACTGCCGAGCCCGCCTGGGACACCGTCCAGTTGGGTGCAGTGCGTCAGTGCTCCGCCGTCAAGGGCCACGTCGCGGACGGCATCGCCGGGGGCAGTTTCGCTCGTCCTCACGCCGCCCAAGGCCAAGAGCCCGGGCACGCTGCCGCCCGCCACTGTGCTCGCAATCCCACCTCCGGAGGCAGCGGGCCAGCCGATGACACACAAGCTGCAGTTCTACGCGCAGGCACCATGCAAGCCGCAGCAGACCAGGGCGCAAAGGGGAAGCTACCTCAAGTCGGTTGTTGGCTACAGTAGGGTGCTCCAGATTCTCTGCGGCCCGTGTTTCGCGCCTGCCATCATCCTCACGGTGCTCGTCGTCAGTTTCCCGTCGAGCCTCTTTCCTAACATGTCCAGGGGTGCCGAGGCTGCGGCGTCCCTGGTGGAGGATGTGGCAGGCGCAGGTGGGGCTGTGGCCCTCGCGGCCAGGAACCTGACTTTGGCCGTGAGTGGGGTTGCGCTATCAGTTGCAAGAAATTGTTGTCGCTTCGCGAATCCCCACCAGCCCATCCAGAAACGATGCCCAGAGGAATTGCCTCGATCAGAGAAGTGGGCAGCACACAGAGGAAGCCATTATGAGACATCTTTGGATATCTTGAGCCATCTTGGAGGTCATTTTGGGCTCTCCCAGACGCTCTTGGAGTCATCTTAATCCGTGCCCCCCCCCAAGAGGCCTCCATGTGGCTAAAACCTGTGTAGAATCAATGTTTAGGCATTCTCGCCGAGGCCTCTTGGAGCATCTTGGGTGCATCTGGGGGGGCTCTTGGGGCCTCTTGGGGGTCTCTTGGGGGCCTCCGGGGGGGCCTCTTGGGGGCCTCTTGGGGCCATTTTGGGGCCATCTTGGGACCTCTTGGGGCTTCCTGGGCGCTTCTTGGGGCCATCTTGGAGGAGATCGAACAAACAAGAGGGGGGGTTTAATTAGCGCCCCCCCTCGGAAGCCCCTAAAATCGCCTCTTGGACCCCTCTTGGAACGCTCTTGGAGTGCTCTTGGGCGCTCTTGGGGCCGTCTTGGGGCTCTTTTGGGGCTCTCTTGGGGCCCTCTTGGGCCATCTTGGAACCATCTCCAGGCCTCGGATGGCCATCGGGAGCGAAAAGGCGAGAAAGCAAAAATTATTGATTTTCCTTAGGTTTTGGGACGATTTTGGCCTCTTCGGGGCCTCCTTGGGGAGCTGTTTGGCCACTTGGAGTTATCTTGGGGCCGTCTTTGGGCTTCTTGGAACCATCTTAGGAGCCATCGTGAGCGATCTTGCGCTATATTGAGCCATCTTGGAGCTCATCTTGGGTTCTCTGAGGCGCTCTTGGAGCCGTCTTGGGCCATCTTGGACGCTCTAACTACCCGCGGCCCCCCCCGTCCAGGTCCAGGGGAGGGGTTAGGGGGAGGGGTAAACCCCTCCCCAAGGGGGAAGAGGGAGGGGTGGAAGAGGATCTGCTCTAGACCACCTACGCCCAGAGGGCTGGTGGGATTCTGCTACGTTTGTGGATGAAGCGTGGTCTGGGATAGATCTGCTGGGCTGCCGCTTGAACGTCACAGGCGGCCGCTTCGTCGTTGACATTGGTGCACGCTCTCGCCCCAGTATGATGAAGGAGCTCGAGCGGGGGCTGTCCGTGGTGCCAGATGACCTGGCAGTGGAGTTGTGGGGTTCCATTAACGCTGTATCGGTCAGGGCGCCAGTGGCGGCGCGGCTCTCCTCCCAGTTCAATTTCACGGAGAGCTTCTTCATCTGGGATTGGGAGGTACTGTTAGTGGACGAAGAGGTGCTGGCAGTACGATATTATTTCGCTAGATTGGGATTTGAACTTCAGTGGGCTAATCCGTTGTGGGCACTCACAGGGGCCGATCCCGGAAGAGAGCTGGAGCGCATCACGACGAGAGTCAAGGATGCGATAGAGTCGGCAGTCGACGCCTCCGTGCTGCGGACACCGCTGACCGCGCAGGAGGTACTCCAGTTCCCCACCACTCGCCCTCCCTTTTGGTTCCGTCTCGGCCGGTGGGCCCACACGCAGTTCGATTGGTTATGGTACGCAAGCGGCGTTTGGCTCTGAGGTTCAGTGGGTTCAAAGCCATATGAGTGGTATGATCGGATACCGGAGTTTGGCATTATCTCAGAGCGGACATGCTGTATATGTTATGGAGTTCAGATTTTCCTTGATGAATCGGATGAGGTCAAATACAAAGGAGACCCTCGGCCGAGGGAGTTTAATTGGAAGCATGTTGCGACACGTCTGAACTGTGATCGACAGGAGATATGGCTTTGGTCATTTCGTGGTCTGTTGAAAAAAAGAGTTGATTATCGAGATAATCGTGAGTGACGCTTGCTGTTGTTTCCTATTCTGCACAGGCTTCGCCTTGGCACGCCCTACCTGTACAGGCTTTGCCTACTTGTCCCTAGCTTTTCCCTTCCTTGCCCCTGACCGCCGCGGGGGCGGTGTGGGGGTCGGGTGGGTGGGTCTCCAGAGGCTTTAGGAACTCAATGCGTTTTGTACATTATGATGAAGTGAGAGCCTTCGAGCGGGTATTAATGTATAGTGTTGGTCCAGCCATGCTCTTCAACAGCAAGCGTGCTTCCATAGCTTTTCGGGCCCACCCGATCCCGCTCTTTGGAGTTCAGGGGATTTTTCCTTGATGAATCGGATGAGGTCAAATACAAAGGAGACCCTCGGCCGAGGGAGTTTAATTGGAAGCATGTTGCGACACGTCTGAACTGTGATCGACAGGAGATATGGCTTTGGTCATTTCGTGGTCTGTTGAAAAAAGGAGTTGATTATCGAGATAATCGTGAGTGACGCTTGCTGTTGTTTCCTATTCTGCACAGGCTTCGCCTTGGCACGCCCTACCTGTACAGGCTTTGCCTACTCGTCCCTAGCTTTTCCCTTCCTTGCCCCTGACCGCCGTCGCGGGGTGGTTGTGGGGGTCGGGTGGGTGGGTCTCCAGAGGCTTTAGGAATTGTTGTCGCTTCGCGAATCCCCACCAGCCCATCCAGAAACGATGCCCAGAGGAATTGCCTCGATCAGAGAAGTGGGCAGCACACAGAGGAAGCCATTATGAGACATCTTGGGATATCTTGAGCCATCCTGGAGGTCATTTTGGGCTCTCCCAGACGCTCTTGGAGTCATCTTAATCCGTGCCCCCCCCCAAGAGGCCTCCATGTGGCTAAAACCTGTGTAGAATCAATGATTAGGCATTCTCGCCGAGGCCTCTTGGAGCATCTTGGGTGCATCTGGGGGGGCTCTTGGGGCCTCTTGGGGGTCTCTCGGGGGCCTCCGGGGGGCCTCTTGGGGGCCTCTTGGGGCCATTTTGGGGCCATCTTGGGACCTCTTGGGGCTTCCTGGGCGCTTCTTGGGGCCATCGTGGAGGAGATCGATCAAACAAGAGGGGGGGTTTAATTAGCGCCCCCCCTCGGAAGCCCCTAAAATCGCCTCTTGGACCCCTCTTGGAACGATCTTGGAGTGCTCTTGGGCGCTCTTGGGGCCGTCTTGGGGCTCTTTTGGGGCTCTCTTGGGGCCCTCTTGGGCCATCTTGGAGCCATCTCCAGGCCTCGGATGGCCATCGGAAGCGAAAAGGCGAGAAAGCAAAAATCATTGATTTTCCATAGGTTTTGGGACGATTTTGGCCTCTTCGGGGCCTCCTTGGGGAGCTGTTTGGCCACTTGGAGTTTTCTTGGGGCCGTCTTTGGGCTTCTTGGAACCATCTTAGGAGCCATCGTGAGCGATCTTGCGCTATCTTGAGCCATCTTGGAGCTCATCTTGGGTTCTCTGAGGCGCTTTTGGAGCCGTCTTGGGCCATCTTGGACGCTCTAACTACCCGCGGCCCCCCCCGTCCAGGTCCAGGGGAGGGGGTAGGGGGAGGGGTAAACCCCTCCCCAAGGGGGACGAGGGAGGGGTGGAAGAGGATCTGCTCTAGACCACCTACGCCCAGAGGGCTGGTGGGATTACCCATACTGATAATACCATACGAATAATAATAAGAACAGTCATACTAATGTTGATAATCATAAGAAGAATCATAATATTACGACTCGTATCCATACTAAGCAAAAACATAAGACGACCAATGATAATACTAAGAAGCATGTTGAGAAACATAATAATACTAATTGTATGATTCAGAATAATAACATGAAAAAAAGGCGAATATTAATAAGGCTACGACTAATAATACGAAGACTAATGATAATGACAATGAGAAGACGAATGCTATTAATAATAAGCATACCAAGAAAATATTATTACGACTGAAAAGAACAAGGGGCAACATAATACTAAAACTAAGAATCATAGTAATAATAAGAATATATTAAGAACACTATTAATGATCATAACACTAGGAAAACTAATAATCATAAGAAGCATCATACGAATACGAATAACAGTAATGATGAGAAGATTCATAATCATAAGACAAGTACTAATAATATGAGTATGCTAAGAAAACTAATAGTGGTACTAAGAAAAATAATGACAACCACGCTGCCAATAATAATACTCATCCTAATAATACTAATCCTGATAAAAAATACTATTCGGGGTCGTAGTAATATTCGTACCAATCGTAATGATACGAATACTCCTACTCATAGCAGTAGGAATAACAATACTATTACTAATAGTAGTATAGACTACTGATAATAATGATTACTAATACTTATATTACTATCAACAATACTAGTACTAATAATACTAATGATATTAATAATAACAGCAATACTAATACTAATCATAGCAGTAATAAGATTAATACTAATACTGCTACTAAAACTACGAATCATAATACTGCTAATACGACTACACATACTAATTATAATAACAGTACGAAGAACAGCAGTGCTACCACTAAGAAGAAAACTAAGAATACCAACAAAGGAGAATAAGAAGGATATGATGATGCTGATGATGATGATGCTGATACTGGTGCTGATGATGATGATGATGATGATCATGATGATGATGACGATGATGATGATGATGATGATGATGATGATGATGATGATGATGATGATGATGATGATGATGATGAGCTGATGATGATGATGAGGAGGAGGAGGAGAGGAGGAGGAGGAGGAGGAGGAAGAGATGCGGAGGCGTAGGCGGAGGCGGAGGCGAGGAGGAGGAGGAGGAGGAGGAGGAGGAGGAGGAGGGAGGAGGAGGAGGAGGAGGAGGAGGGATCAAGGAGGAGGAGGGAGGAGGAGGAGCAGGTAGGAGGAGGAGGAGGAGGAGGAGGAGGAGGAGGAGGAGGAGGAGGAGGGAGACGAGGACGAGGAAGAGGAGGAGGAGGAGGAGGAGGAGGAGAGGAGGAGGAGGAGGAGGAGGAGGGAGAGGAGGAGGAGGAGGAGGAGGATGAGGAGGAGGAGAGGAGGAGGGGGGTGGAGTAGGAGGAGTAGGAGTAGGAGTAGGAGTTAGGATAAGGATTAGAGTAGGAGTAGGAGTAGGAATCGTAGGAGTCGGAGTAGGTAGTAGGAGTAGGAGTAGGAGTAGAGTAGGAGTAGTAGTAGTAGATAGTAGTAGTAGTAGGAGAGGCGGAGGAGGAGGAGAGGAGGAGGAGAGGAGGAGGAGGAGGAGGAGGAGGAGGAGGAGGAGGCGGAGGAGGAGGAGGAGGAGAAAGAGGAAGGAGAAGGATGAGGAGGAGGAGGAGGAGGAGCGGAGGCGGAGGCGGAGGCGGAGGCGGGATGAGGAGGCGGAGGCGGAGGCGGAGGCGGAGCGGAGGCGGAGGCGGAGTAGGCGGAGGAGGAGGAGAGGAGGAGGAGGAGAGGAGGGAGAGGAGTGGAGGAGGAGGCGGGGGAGGAGGAGGAGGAGGAGGAGGAGGAGGAGGAGGAGGAAGGAGGAGGAGGGAGGAGGAGGAGGAGGAGGAGGAGTAGGAGGAGGAGGAGGAGTAGGAGGAGGAGGAGGAGGGGGCAAAAGAGGAGGCGGGGTGGCGGATGATGATGATGAGGAGGAGGAGGAGGCGGAGGAGGAGGCGGAGGAGGAGGAGGAGAAGGAGGAGGAGGAGGAGGAGGAGGAGGAGAAGGAGGAGGAGGAGCGTTCGACCCAGTCTCTTGAGCTTCGTCGTGCCATGCTACTGGGCCAGAAGCAGCGGCCGCAAGCCAACGCTGCTGCTTTCGCGCAGTTTGTCCCCCGCGCAGTCCGTCCTTTTGCCTTCCCAGCAGCCGTCTCCCCCGCAAAAGCGCGACGGCGCGCGTGGAGTGCCGGCGGCGAGCGAGGGGGGGAAGTGAAAAGGAGATTGCCTTCTCAGAAGAAGGCGGGACTTCTCAGAAGGCCGGGGAACTTCGGAGCTTTCTGAGAAGACCTTCTCCTTATCACTCCCCCCCGGGCTCGCCGCCGATCCACCTCCCGAGCAGGCGCCTCCCCCGCCAGGGCGCGACTGCGCGCGCGGGGTGTCGGCCGCGCGCAGATGGGGTTAGTGGGGAGGGGGGGGGGCTTCTTGGAAGCGTCCTTGCTTCTTGGAAGGCGCGGGCCACATCTGCAGACGTAGGGCCGGCGCCTTTAAAGAACCAGCCTCCTTCTAAGAAGCCTTCCCCCCTGCCCGTGCCCCCTGGTGCGCGCCGCCAAGAGTGGCGCGATGCCCGGCTCGAGCCCGAGCGCGGCCGTCCCGCTGAGGGTCGTGGCCGTGGGCTCTCCCATGCTGGACACCATGGCCTGCGTCGGGCAGCCATTCCTCCAGGACCCGGGGCGGCGTCTGACTCGAGCCCCGGCAGGAGGAGAAGGAGGAGGAGGAGGAGGAGGAGGAGGAGGAGGAGGAGGGAGGAGGAGGAAAGGGAGGAGGAGGAGGATGGAGGAGGAGGAATCATAATATAAATAAGCAAAACATGAGAATACGAATCAGCAGAAAAGCACTAACAATACTAACCATACTAACAACATAAGTAATACTAACAATAATACGTTTACTTATAACAAGAAGATGAATAATACTAGTAATGGTAATCATAGTAATATCAACAGTCCCTATGGTAATCATGATAATCATGGTAATACTAATACTATTACTCTTATGAAGAATACGAAAGATACACATACACATAATACCAACAACAGTACTAATCAATCATAAACGAATAGTAAAATACTACGACGAACAAGCACACTACTAATATGAATAGTAAGAGCACTATGATTCATACTAGTCAGAAAGTTATAATAACAAGAACGATCATAATACACATACTAAGACACATCGTACTACTACTAATAAGGATACTCGTGCTAACAGTGCTATTGAGAGCATCAAGAAACCACACAACAATACAATCCGAAGGACAATGATAATAATAATCAGCAGGAAACTAATGATAATACGAAAACGAATGCTAATGATAATCGGAACATAGTAACAAACACAATACTACTAAGAGGAATACTAATAATGACAATATCCAACATTCAAGCAAACATAATAGCACTAACATTAATAATACTAATACTGTTACTGATAGTAATACTAGTAGTAATAATAGACACGTTTAATAATAACGCGACTACTACTAATACTAATAGTGGTACTGATACTAATCATATTAATGACGATGCTTCTAATAACAATCATAATACTAGTCATAATACGAATAATAAGACATTCGGCAACTACTAACATTTATACTCATAAAGAGAACGATTAATAACATGAGGAGGAGGAGGAGGAGGAAGAGGAGGAGGAGGAGGAGGAGGAGGAGGAGGAGGAGGCGGGGGGGGCTCTGGCGTGTGCGCCGCTCTTTCTTGGGCGGCCCGTGGCGCGAGCTCAGACGGCCCAGCCCTCGGGAGTTGTCATCCGCGGGAGGGCGCGCCAGGGGTCGACCTGAACGGCGTCTTTGGCGATGTCGTGGGCCTTTTTCGTTTCGACTTCGTTTTGGGGCGGGAGATTGGAGACAGAACGAACACGAAAAACAATCGTTAGGTCGATCCCTGGGGCGTGCCAAATCTCGGGCCAGGGCCCGCCGCTGCTCCGACGCCCCCCCCCGTCGGGCGAGCTCGAGAGTCCCCGCAGGCTCGAGTCTCTTGCGCCTCCTCGGCAGGAGCACGGCCTGCCCCCCGGGGACGCCACGCCCGTGCCGGACACCCTCGCGTTCGCGCGCCTGAAAGGCGAGGCGATTTCTGGGGGGTGCTGAGCGGGGGCAGCGGCACGTGATGGGCCCATTTTCCACCTCCACTACCATATGTTGGGAAAGGAGGAGGAGGAGGAGCAGGAGGAGGAGGAAGAGGAGGCGGAGGAGGAGGAGGAGGAGGAGGAGGGGGCGAAGAAGGAGGCGGAGGAGGCGGAGGAGGCGGAGGAGGCGGAGGAGGCGGAGGAGGCGGAGGAGGCGGAGGCGGAGGCGGAGGAGGAGGCGGAGGAGGAGGAGAAGGAGGAGGAGGAGGAGGAGGAGGAGGAGGAGGAGGACTTTCTCATCCTCCCTTCTCCCCCGTCCTAATTACATATGGCAGTGGTGGTGGAAAATTTGCCCATCAGCACGGCGCTGGCCGAGAGCGCTCCGCCGTCCCGCCCGGTCTCCCTTCGAACCTTTGGCGTCTGGGGCCCCCTGCCTCCAGGCCTCCCAGCTCGGTTCAGAGCGCAGTATTGTTTCGACGACCCCTGTCCCCCTTCCCATCCCCATCCAGTTTCCAGCCACCTCACCCCCCCCAGCGAGGGATCTGCCCCTCGAAACCAAAGGGAACGGCTCACATTCCCATTCCAGGGTTGTAAATCGGCCAGTGGGACCAAGCCACGCCCACGGGGTCGAAGGTCGGTGAAGCGATGTTCAGGAGCAGATTGTGTCGGAGGATCGCGCCGCATCCGCGATGCATCGGCGGTGCGGCTCGATGTTGAGCCCGATTTTCTCCACGCAGACAGCTCTGGTGTACAGTCAACCCGCATAATAGGGATGGGCAACCTTCCCAAGGGTACCTTTGCATCCTTGCCCCTTCGGCCCATCCTTAGCGACTTTCGCTGGCCGCGCCCCGCTCGCAGAGTGCCGACACGTCCTTCCAAGGCCCTTGCATCCTCACCGCGCATCCTTATGCCACGGGTTGACTCTATCGCCGACGTCGCCGATGCATCGCCGATGCATCGGCGATGCATCGGCGATACTCAAGGGAGGAAAATCCACCCGGACCAGACAATTGGCGTTTACTAAACGGCCCTGGGCGTACAGCCCTGCCCTGTTTGATTCCTTCTTTGAGTGCGTTTACTAAACAGCTAAACGGCTTCGCGTGTCGGGGTGGTTAGTATCGGGGTGGATTCTCTGCCCTCTAGATACGGCGAGATGCTCTGGCCCCATGCGCTCGGACTCCATTTGGGAGGCCTCCCCGTCCGGGCCCCGGGAGTCTCGCGAGCCCTGGCTCTCCGGTGTCGTGATCCTGTCGTTCTGCGTCGTCTAACCGATCCCCGTGCCCCCCCACAGGCCACGGTTTTCTCTCGAAGAACAAGCAAGAGCGACACAAACATAAACTTTTGGCGCTCCGCGCGAGTTTCTTGGATCTGCGCTGGGCCCCCTGGCGGCGCCCCTCGGGCGCCGCCCCTGTCGCGCTCCGCGCGTCAGGGAGGACGGTCCAGCACGAATTCAAGAAATCTGCGCGGAGCGCCAAAAGTTTATGTTAATGATTTTTTTTTTAAACTGCGAAGACCTCACGGCCAGTGCCGCCGTCCTTGAAGGGATACGACGACGACGACGACGACAACGACGACGACGACGACGACGGCGGCGGCGGCGGCGGCAACGACGACGACGCTGACGTGGGCCAGAGTTCGCAGGGATGGTTCTCGACGGCCTCTGGGGAGGAATTTTTGGGCCTCTTGGGAGCCTCTTGGGGGCCTCTTGGGAGCTTCTCTTCAGGCTTCCTGGGGACCTCTTGTGGGCCTCTTGGAGCCTCTTGGGGGCCTCTTGGGAGCCTCTCTTCGGGCTTCCTGGGGACCTCTTGCGGTCCTCTTGGGGCCTCTTGGGAACCTCTTAGGGCCTCCTGGGAGCCTCTTGGGGCCGAGGGCTCCTCTTGGGGTCCTCTTGGGCTGGTTTGGGGCCCTCTTGGAGGTCTCTTGGGCCGACTTGGGGCGATCTTGGGGGCCTCTTGCGTCGTTTTGGAGCGGCGGGAAGTCGAAAAGGCGAAAACGCCAAAATTTTCCAACAACCAACGGAAATCAATGAATTTGGCTTCTTGGGGCCCTCTCGGGAGTGCTCTTGGAGGCGTCTTGGGGCGTCCTGGAGGCCTCCTGGGCAGTCTGGAGACCGTGAAGGCGTTTTGGACTGATCGTTTGGCGAGTGGGGACCCTCTTGGACCGTCTCGGCGGCCTCTTGGATCACTCTTGGCCTGTCTTGGTACTTTCTGAGGCTCCGGGGCCCCCAGGGGAGGATTGTTATCTGACCCCCCCAGGACCCCCCCCCCTCGACGTTTGAGGGATCAAAGGGAAGGGGCTTCCCTTCGACTCGATTACGACATTGCTAGATTTTTCTCTCGCTGACAGATCTAACATGCACAATGCTGGGCAAGACCTCTCGCCCAAGCATTGCAATTCTGAACGCTTGCTGATACCTTAGCAGCTTGCTTTTGCGCTTGCCTGGTCCATTCGTTTCTAGGGCGTCTTACCCGCCTCACGTACTTGCACGTGATTGGAGCACGAGCCCCACGGCAACATGTTCGACACTTCAGCACGTCGCTTTTGGGGGCTCTCACCTCCCTGCCGTAAGCAAGCAACTGCTGACATAACAGTTTCTGTGAAATTGGCTGCCTGCCAGCCCTGGCCAGAACCACCTGATTGGACACACGTGATATGAAAGAAGGCTGAATGCGCTGAATTACCCTCAGACATCTGCAGTGGAAGCCATTCAGATTACGGATCTCAGCAACATTGAGCCACGCAGAATTAAGCCAGTGGAGGAGCTGGCTGACAATGATGGCCTCGAACACCTCAAGCTTCCTTGCGGTCGTTAGCTGCGCGCGATTCCAAAACCAGTTTAAGTGGCAGAAACTGCCCCAGGCCCTCCCGATTCTGCGGTGGAGGTCTTTCTTGGAGCTGCCATCATGTCTGACGTCGACGCCAAGATAATGCATCACCTCCGCGCTCGGGATTGGTTCCCCCGAATGCGTGCTCAAGCTGTAACTCCGGCCAACAGAAATCAGCTGAAACTTCGACCAGTGGAGGGACATTCCGTATTGGGCACCCGTCTTGGCCGTGGCATCCAACAGCTCCTGCAAGTGGCTCTCGTTGGCTCTAATGAGAAGAGTATCATCTGCATAAAGGAGAAGATCGAGCAGGCCGTCGTCCAAGTTCTTTTGGGGTCCCGCAGTCAGCGACCTCGTCGCAAAGAGGAATGGCGAGAGTGGGCACCCTTGTGAGATGCTGGACAGCCGAGCTCGTTCGGCCGACTCCCCTGCGGGGCAGACAACACAAGAGCGCTGGTCCCGGCAGATGTGCTGGATCATTATCGGGATCTTCGGCGGCAGGCCGAAGCGTCTGAGCGCGACAATGAGCATGCGCATGAGGGTGCAGGGAAAGGGGACGACGGAGACGACGACTGACGGAGACGACAACTCGAACAGGCAAGCCCCTCACACACGCCGACAGGGTCGGCGGATTCTCATCTCCACCAGCCCATCCGCCCAGGTGGGAACGAGTCCCAGGTGGGAATGTTGTCCAGCTGCCTCTGGCAACTCCGCCACCGTGCTAGCGAAGCATCGAGCAGACTACTACTACTACTACTACTACTACTACTACTACTACTCTTCCTCCTCCTCCTCCTCCTCCCCCTCCCCCTCCCTCCTCCTCCTCCTCCTCCTCCTCCTCCTCCTCCTCCTCCTCCCCCTCCTCGAGAGGGCAATGGGGGCCTGCTGGGGGCCTTGGCGCAGAGGAGTTCCGACTGCTTGGTTCGTGCTCCCACTCCCGGGCCGTTGGGCCCTTCCTCTTGGGGCCGTCCCGGGGGCCGTCTTGGGCCGTCTTAGGCGCCTCCTCCATCTCCTCCATCTCCTCCTCCTCCTCCTCCTCCTCCTCTCCTCCTCCTCCTCCTCCTCCTCCTCCTCCTCCTCCTCCTCCTCCCCCTCGGCCGACCAGGCGGCCCGGAGCACGCTGTCCCGTCTGGGGCAGTCTTGGGCGCCTCTTGGGCCGTCTGGGGGCCTTTTATTGGGCCGTGTTGGAGCTCTCTTTGGGCCATGAGTCGTCTCGGAGGAGTCTTGGGGGCCTCTCGGGCCGTCGTGGAGCGTGGGAAGCTCAAAAAGGCGAGAACCCCAAAAACATACAAGTTGCGGAGCATCAATCGTTTTCGCCTCTCGGGGCTCTCTTGGGGGACTCTTGTGTGCCTCCTGGGGGCCTCTTCTGGCCGTCTTGGAGCTTCCTGAGCTTTCTCGGGGCGGAAGGCTAGAATTGTCGGTTCGTGTTCACCCTCTTGGGCCCTTCTTTGGGCTGTCTTGGTGCCCTCTTGGGGCAGTCCTGGTGGCCTCTTGGGTCGACTTGGGACGTCGGAAGGGCACCGAACAATATTGAAACAATTATGGAACATCATTTTCTTTGTTCGAGGCCCTCTTGGCAAGGCTCTTGGAGCTCTCTTTGGACACCTCGAAGGTCTCGTGGGCCGTCTTAAAGCCATCTTGGGCCGTCTTGAGGCCGAAGTGGTGGCCTCGGGAAGAGGGGGCGGTGCATGCAAGTCAGTGTTGCGGGGAGGGGGGGGCCCTCAGAAAATTACAGACACACAGACACCCTTCCAGACGGCATTTGGCATTCAAGCACGCCTCAACGTGCCAGGAGGCATGGTGACGGACATCCCCATCCAGGGGGTGAAGTCGGCCAGTGGGGCCAAGGCCATGCCAGTGGGGAGAGTGGTCGGTCAGGCGATGCTCAGTCGTGGAAGCTGCCGAGCGTCGCAGCAGGTCCTGGGGAGTGTCCCGCGAGGGGCTCGCACCGCGTGGCGCTCCAGCGCCCCCCGCTCTCGGCGCCCGCGCTCGCCCCCCCCTGGCCGTGGCGGCCTCGTTGCGGCCCCCGGCTGAGGGCCTGGGCGGCTGCGCCGGCAACACGGCGAAGGTCCTGGCCTGCCTGGGCTGCGCGGCCGGCTTCTGCGGCGGCGTGGGGCGCGACCCGGCCGCCGAGGCGCTGCGGCGGGCGCTGGCCGCGCACGGGCTGGGGGACCTCCTCGCGGCCTCGGCGGACGGCGAGCCCGAGGGCGCGGGCGAGACCGGCCAGGTGCTCTGCCTGATCACGCCCGGCGGCGAGCGCACCTTCGCCTACCGCTCCGGCGCCTCGGCCGCGCTGAGGCCAGCGCAGCTGCGGGAGGCGCTGGGCGCGTGGCTGGCGGCCGGCGGCGGCACGGGGCTGGCCCTCGCCTACTTCGACGTCTACACCTTCCTCTGCCCTGGCGCGCTGCCGGAGGACGGCATGCGCGAGGCTCGGGCGTTGGGCGCGCAGTGCGGCCTCAACCTGGGGAGCCCCGGCGCCGTGGAGGCGCACCGGGGCCGCCTGTGGCGGCTGCTGGAGGGCGGCCTGTGCGACGTCGTCATGATGAACGAGGCGGAGGCCCGCGCCCTGGACCCTGGCGCTGGTGGCCGGCGGCGCGGCAGCGGGGGCTGGTGCCAGAGGTGGGGTCCTGGCCCGGGGTGCCCCGAGGGCTCGGAGGGCCCAGGGGGGGCCAGGGGCGAAGAGCTGGGAGCACCTCGGGCCAGGGCCGCCTCTGGCAGCACCCGAGCGTGGGCGAGGGGTGCGGCAGTGGCCCGCGGGAGGGCTTCGCGCCTCTCGGGGGCTCGGCAGTCTCCAGGGTGGGGGGGAGGGTCCTCTCCTGAGAGGCGCCCTGGCCTGTCTGGAAAAGGCAGCTCCCCCCGCCCTGGTCCACCTGCTTCGACTGCACGTGAGAGAAAGAGAGTGGCCAGTCGCCCGAGTGACCCTTGGTGCGGGCCCACTGGGTTCGCCGAGCGCGATGCCAGGGCTGGACCTGAACGCTGTTTTGCTAGACTTCGGCTGTGCTCTGTTTTTCCTTCTGGCAGGGAGGTACAGGAACACAACGAAACGAAGACACAACGAAAAACGAAACACAACAAAACAATACGAACACGAAATGCAACAAAACGAAACCACAACGAGAAACAAAACGGTACAGCTTCCTAGAGCACAGCAAAACGAACAACACAGCGAAAAACACAACGAAAACACAACGAAAACGAAGCACAACGAGCACAACAGCAAAACGAAGACACAACGAACAAAAAACAGCGTTTCGGTCCAGCCCTGCGCGGTGCGACAGCGGCTCCCTGCGCGCTTGGGCTTGGCACTCGCCCCCCCTCCCCACGCTGGGGGCCCTCGCCCTCCGCGGAGAGGGAGTCTTTCAGGAGGGGGAAAAAACACAGACACAATTCATCGTCGATTCCCCAGAAAATACGGGAACATCTGGGAAGTGGGGGGGAAGACAAAAACCCAGAAAATATTGGAAAATATTGGGGGTATCTTTATTTGTGTGTATTTATTTGTGTGTCCTGTGGCCCCTTTCAGTCTTACCATTAAGTCGGGGGCCTGTCCCTCTACAGGCGGGAGACTCGAAAGCAGTAACAAAAACAGTCTGGGGAGATTTTTTTTGTGTGTGACCATTTTTTTGTATACCAAATCTTACCACAGGAAAATCAGCTTGTCTGCGGCTTAAGACCCCCCTTTGAGGGCCCTCGCCCTCCGCGAAGAGGGGCCTCACCACGGGAACATCGAGCTTCCTATAGCAAAACCCCCCCTCCGCCCCCCCCAAGGTTAAGTCGGGCCTGTCCCTCTACAGGAGGAAAATTAAAGAATAATCAACGAATAGTCTGGGGACGATTGTTCGATGATCCTTTGCCATTTAGGGGTGCTCTTCGAATATTTTTGATTTTCCATCCGAAACCCGCCTGTAGGAGGACGTGCTCGACCTAATCAACCCTGAGTGCCCTGGTTCTTGGACGTCGCCGGGGTCCGCGGTGCATCCCGGGCTCCAGCCCGGCCGCCGTGCTCTCATAGGGTTGTCCTTCTGGTCGTATGTCTAGGGCGATGAGATCTACACACATCCACTGCTCCCTGGCCAGGCCTGCCCCGAGCCCAGGAGCTGTGTGTACGTCCTCCTGGTCAGGCCCGGAGGGCGTGGCGTATACACCGCTGCTGGGTCCAGGATGGGCCTGGCCAGGGAGGGAGCGGTGGATCTGTACAGATTGCGTCGCCCCACCCCCGAGATCCGACGCTGCAACAACAATTGCAACATGGCAGAAAATCGCGACCAAAGCCCCGGACCCCATCGTTCCGTGTCATTTTTCGAGCCGGACCGATCTGTGAGGGTCCCGGGGCCCGAAATTGAGCGAGCACGCCCGATGTGAAACAACTGCAACGCCAGGATCTCAGGGACTGTCCGCGCCTCGCCTCGCCTCGTCCCCCTCCCCCCCCCAAGCCACGCGCCAGTAAGGTCTCTCTCTTGCCCAGCCCTGACCTTCCAGAGAGCTATTTTTTAGCACTGGAGGCCTAAAAAACTAAGAAACGGAACGAAACATCCTAAAATCAAGACTTAGTAGCTTTGGGATAGGTTGTTAAGTCTGGTGCTATTTTTTCGCCCTCCTGGAGGGTCAGGGAGAGTGCCACTCCCGCGCGTGGCTGGCGGGTGCCGCGCCGCCGAGGTGGCGCGGGCGTCCCGTGGAGCCCGGAGGAGGCGTGCCGGGCCGCGTCGGCTCTCTGCGAGCTCGCCGTGGTGACGCTCGGCTCCGGCGGGGTCTTCAGGGGCAGCGCTTCCACTGGGATCGTCTTGGTGGTTCGTTTGTAGCTGGCGGTTGGTTTGTAGTACGTAAGTTAAGTAGGTGATGGTTAGATGTTGGTAGGGTGTTGATTTGATGTCGGCCAGCACACTTCTGTTCCAGGCTATCTAGTATGCTCCAGAGCTTTCATGATAATGAGGTTCACGAAAACAGTCAAACACCGCCCGCTCCAATTTTCTGAAAATTGGAGCGGGCGCTCTTTTGTTTCTGCTGTTTTTTTTCAGCCTCTGGGGGCCCCCGCCGGGCCTCGGGAGCGGCAACAAAACCACTCGGGACGAGAAAACACAGCCGCAGGGAGGTGGTCTGGACCTCCGGGGCCCGCGAGTCGAAGGACTTGGACCAGCCGGATGTCTGGGGCGTCTGGTGCCAGCAGAGCAATGCCCTCAACACCAAGGGTTAAGTCGGGCCTGTCCCTCTGCAGGGGGGAATATTCAAAAATAGTAAAACAATAGTCAGGGGATTATTTTTTTAGTATTTTCGGGCGTCTTTCGAGGATTTTTGGAGTATTTTTTATTTTTCGTCGAAAATCTCCGTGTAGGGGGACACGCCCGACTTAAACCAAGGGGCAACGCTTGGGGACGGAAGGCATCGACCCCCCAATCGCCCGTTCCTCGCCGAGGGGGGCCGAGGGCCCGCCCCGCTCGGGCACGTGCGGGTTCGCCATCGGGGGCCCATCGTCAAGGCGGGCGCGTCCCTCCATAGGACGAATATCCCCAACATAGCCCAAAAATAATCAGGGGACGATTTTTTGGGTATCTCTCCACCGTTTTTGGGTATTTTTTGAGTTTTTTTTGTTGTTGTTGTTGTCCGAAATCCCCCTGTAGGAGGACAGGCCCGACTTAAGTCTATCAAGCTTTTAAGAACCCCCCCGACCCCCCCCCTCATCCGGTGAAAGTATAACGCATCCGGCACACTGGAAGCGTTACCTCGGCACTGGAGGAGCCCGCAGAGAGCGTTCGGGGCCAAGCTAAGCCTTGCTGAGCCCTGCTAGCTCCCGCTAAGTCCTGCTAAGCAATGATAAGCCAGGCTCGCTCCCTGCTGAGCCCTGCAACGCCCTGCTAGCCCCCTGCTTCTTCTTGCGCGTCGCGCGGCGCGCGACGCGCCACGGAATTTTGTTTTTTGTTTTGTGCGAGGTGCTAAAGATATCGCTCTGCGAAAACGACCCCCAGAAAATATCAAATCTTGGTGCGGTGCTAACGATAACCCCGGGGGGTTTCTTAAAGGCTTGCCGGGGTTAAGCCTATCGCCGATCTGCCGGCGAGGTGTCGCCGAGCCCAGCTCGATGTCTTCCGCCCGCGCGCTGGTCCCCCTGGCGTCGCCCCTCAGGTCTGGGTCGCGCGGGGGCGCGGCGCCGAGCCGAGGCTGCACCCGGTGCAGCCGGCCGAGCCAGCCAAGGCGGTGTGCTCCAGGAGGAGGGGGAGGAGGAGGAGGAGGAGGAGGAGGAGGAGGAGGAGGAGGAGGAGGAGGAGGAGGAGGAGGAGGAGGGGGAGGGGGAGGAGGAGGAGGAGGAGGTGGAGGAGGAGGAGGAGGGGGAGGAGGGGGAGGAGGGGGAGGAGGAGATGGAGTAGGAGGAGAGGGAGGGGGAGGGGGAGGGAGAGTGCGGGAGTCTCGTGCTCCCAGGGTCTATGTCGATTGGGTCGATGCGATCCAGCATCTGTTTCGGCCAGCCTGGTGCGATTCGGTTCAGACGCTCCGACGATGCGGCCCGGTGCCTGGGAGCCGTTCAGCCACGCGCAGAGGCGGTCGGGTTAGGTCGGGCATGTCCCCCTACAGAGGGATTTTAGAGGACAAACTAAAGTAGCAAACAAGTGTTCAAAGATTGTCAAACAAATCAAAACATCGTCCCCCGATCATTTTTTGTTTGAAAGATATATTTTGAAAATTCGTCCTCAAGCGGGACATGCCCGACTTCAGGACAGTGGGAGGGGGGAAGGCTGCTTAGAAGCACCCTGCTCGAAGCGGGCTCCAGGGGAGCTCGGGGTCCCAGGCTCCGCCCGCTGCCCCGCGGTCCCCGCTCGGAGGGGCTGGACGTGTGCCGCGTCGTCTGGTCGACGAGGGAGCCTGGGAGCCGTGCGGGCCGCCCCCACCGGGGCTCAAGAGACGGGGGTCAGGGCTCTCGCGCTCTCCTCCGCTCCTTGCGCTCCCTCCCCTCCGCATCTTCGCGCCGGGGATCCTGCAGGATCTTGCAGGATCCTTCGCTCTGACCCGGGCTTGGGTGCAGGATCCTACTGGATCTTGCAGGATCCTGGAAGGCATGACAGACCCGGGTCTGGATTGACCCGGGTCAGAAGATCCCCGACCCAGTGGGGCTAAATCAGGCTATCGCAAACATGGATCAAGGGGGCGTGGATTAGCGACGGGTCCCGTTTCCATTCGAAATCTCGGATTTCCGCCGCCGAACGAGGCGGCACCGGCAGCATTTCGGGGAGGGCTGCCAAATCCTTGGATCGCTAATCCATGTTTGCGCGCCCCCGACTGGAGTGGATGCGGTCGGAGGATCTCGCCACATCGCCGATGCATCGGCGATGCGGCGCGGTGCCGAGCCCGATCTGACCAATCCTGATGTCGCCGGTGCACCGCCGACGCCTCGACACTGCGGTGCGATCCTCCGACCCCATCTGCGCCAGCCCCGTTTGGGCGGCCTCCAGCTCGGTGAGGGCGCTCGGCGCAGTGGCTCTCCAGCATCCCACGGGTTTGGACGCTGGGGAGTGCATACAACGAGCTCCTTGGCCGATCAGGCGACGGCGTGCATAATTCAAGCCGCTCCCGCTCTCTTTCCCCCTCCTCCCCTCTGCCTCTCCTTCTCCCGCTCACCTTCCCCCCTCTCACCCTCACCGTCCCCGTTGCCCTCCCCCGCCTCCCCCTCGAAAACATCAGAAGCACCCAAACGAAAGACCACTCAGAGATCAGAGAGCATTCGGAACACACTCGACGACCATTCGACAACCTGGCACACCCTCGCAATTCTTTGAACAGGTGTGACAACTTGTGAAAGTACTTTCGCACACCTTGAAACGCCTCCAAGGGCATAAGGAGGGCCTCGATTTTTTTGAACATCTTCGAACAACTTCAGACACCTTTGATGAAAGCCCTTGAGAGCTTGGGGGTAGCCTCCCAGGTGGTGGACTCCACGGGCGCGGGGGACTTCTTCGCCGGCGGCTTTCTAGGCGCCTGGCTCAGGGGCCTCCCGGAGGAGGAGCCCCTCGGTGGGCCATCTCAGGAGGAGGGAGGGAGAAGGGGGGGGGGGACGAGGCGGAGGAGGAGGAGGAGGAGGAGGAGGAGGAGGAGGAGGAGGAGGAGGATGAGGAGGAGGAGGAGGAGGAGGTGGAAGAGGAGGCGGAGGAGGAGGAGGAGGCGGAGGAGGAGGAGGAGGTGGAAGAGGAGGCGGAGGAGGAGGAGGAGGAGGAGGAGGAGGAGGATCCCAGTAAGTCCAAGATGTATCGACGATGCTGCAATACAAACACCCGTTTGGTGCCTTCACGCATGTTTTTTTCAGTGCGCGAACCGACCCCCTTGAACGAACAGCGCCCCTATGGTCCCGCAATCTGGGCGGAAGTGGTGTTTTCGAACGAGCTGCCCTGCAGCCCGCGAGCCACCAGGAGTGCAGCAGGGCGGGGTCAGAAAGTTACATGACACGCCCAGCGACGGCACCCACTTTGAGAAGGATTCGCCCTCCGTCCGTGCAACGGCCGTGCAGTTTCGGGCTCCTGGTCACAAGGTCCAGCGAAGCCTCAGGCGAGGGAGCCCCACTCTGACAAGGGGACCGCCATGAGTCCGGTGCAGCTACAGCGAAGACGCTGAAATAAGGTCCGCTTTGGGTTCGCAAGGGGCTCGGGGATTTGGGTCGTTTCTCAGATTTATGTCGCGGGATTTGCTTGTGGCCCAGGCCCTCCGTGGCCAGAAAAGCCCCTCTGTTCCTTATTTGGCGTTCCTTCTGGTAGTACCTCGACTGTGTTGCACAGTCTTCTGCTTGCGGCATGGCCGTCTCGGGACATCTCGGGCGAGGGCTCCCTGCTGAAAGCGATCCGCCCTTCCTCCGTGTGGCCGCTGGACACTTTTTGCGACGCGTGTGCGCGGCGCCCAGGCGAGAGCCCTTCTTTGAAACAATCTTTTGATTTCTGATAAACGAGTGCGCGCGCATTGTACTTTATGGAGAGGATGGCGGGGGGGGGGGCGATACCGGTTTGGCTGGGATGATATGAATTCATAGGTCGGATGGACATTTGGGTCAGAATCCAATGTGTTTTGCATCGGTTCCCGGGGGATCTTTAACCCCAGGGGGGGGGGAGGGTGGTAGACCCTGTCATTTTTGAAAAAGACCCCTTCCCATCCGTTGTGCTGCCGGGGTGTGGGATAAGCCAGCGCGCGCGACGCCAGGGCGAGCGACCCATCCTGAAGACGACGCGCCCTCCATCCGTGCAGCTGCTGGACGTTGTCAAGGCGAGCGTGCGCAGCGCAGCAGCGAGAGCCCCACTTTGAAAACGGCCCGCCCTCCACGCGTGGAGCTGTGGGAGGTGTCCGAGAAGAGTGCGCGTCGCGCCAAGACGAGAGCCCCGTTTCGAAGGCGACCCTCCCTCCACCCGTTGTAGCGTTTGGATGTTGTAAAGACGAGTGCGAATGCGGCGCCAGGACGAGAGCCTCATTTTTGAAAGCGATCCGCCTTCCGTCGGGCATCTGGTGGACACTTCAAGCTTTGAGATCGTATCCTTCTCCTCCTCCTCCTGCTCCTCCTCCTCCTCCTTTTCTCCTCCTCCTCCTCCTCCTCCTCCTCCTCCTCCTTGGGCCACAGGCGGGGATCGGCTCTTGGCTGGCTGCTGGTGCTCTAGCAGGTTCTGGGCGGCGGCGCCGCCCAAGCGACGCGTTGTGGTGGTGCGGCAGGGGGGAGTTACCCACGAGAGCGGGGGGAGGGGGGAGGGGGCCGGTGGCGCTTCTGACCCACACGTACTCCCACTTTCTGCGCTATTTTCCGAGAGGCCAGCAGGCGCAGTGAGGAGGAGCAGGCGGGGGCGGAGTTGGCGGAGGAGGCCTGGCGAGATCTGGCTAACGACTCTGACATGTGGAATCAGCGAGCACCCAGGGATCACCGAGCGCGTTCCACTACTCGCAAAGTGCCTACTCGCAAACGTCCGAAAAGCACACGTCTGCACCGATGAAACCTATCCGAAGTCCCCAACGGCGGATCCAGGCCATGTGCGAGTAGTGACTTTGCGAGTAGTGGAACGCGCTTGTCCCAGGGAGGGAGCACGCACGGGCCCGTCCTGGGCGACGTCCAGGACGTCGGCGAGCGGCGGCGTGGCGGGCGGCACAGGGGCAAGGGCAGCCCCCCCCCCCGCTCTCTCCGCTCCCACTGCATGCTCGCACCGCGCTCGACGACGGCGAACCCCGCGGCTCATCAAGAGAAGGATGAGTGAGGGCGAGGGCGAGGGCTCGCCCGCCCGCGGGGGACACATTCGGGGCTCGCCTGGAGCGTGTGCCTTGTGCGGTGTAGAGGTTCACATGTGGCGATCATTGTCCGCCGGCCTCGTCTTCCTTGTCCTTCTTCCTCCTCCTCCTCCTCCTCCTCCTCCTCATCCTCTCCCTCCTCCCTCCAAGTCTCACCGTCGTCCCTCCTGCTGCTGCTGCTGCTGCTCCCGCTCAGGAGTGCGTGCGCTGGGGGTCCGCGGCCGCGGTCGCCGTGCTGTCGGCGTTCGGCACCGATCTCGGCCGCGCGGGCTGGGAAGCGCTGCGGGCCGAGTGCATGGCGACCTGAAGGGGAGGGCGCCGCGGGCCGAAAAGAGCCGTCCTGGTGCTGATCCCCCTCCGCAGTCTCTATCCCCCGTGTCCTCGCACCTCCTCTCCCCATCGCCTCTCTTTTCTAATTTCCCGACCAACACCTGTGGTGTCGGGTCCTCGTTTTGAAGTAACGGTTCCCGCGTTCTCCTCCTCCTCCTCCCTCCCTCCTCCCTCTCTCTTCCTCCCCCTCCTCCCTCCTCCATGCGTTTCACCCACCCAGTACAGCGTTTCGTGGCCCCATAGGGAGCCCCACCGAAGGTCCCAGTGCTACCGTCCGCATGCGTCACGCACACCCAGTACAGCGTTTCGTGGCCCCATAGGGAGCCCCACCGACGGCCCCAGTGCGAGCGCCCGCATGCATCTTCAAAACCCAATTTGGTATTTTCGCCCTCCCAGTACAGCGTTTCGTGGCCCCATAGGGAGCTCCACCGAAGCCCCCAGTGGGACCGCCCGCATGCGTCCCACACGCCCAATTTGGCATTTTTCCACCCACCCAGTACAGCGTTTCGTGGCCCCACAGGGGAGCTCCGCCGAAGGCCCCAGTGCCACCGTCCGCGTGCGTCCCGAAAACCCAATTTGGCATTTTATAGGGAACTCCACCGAAGCCCCCAGTGGGACCGTCCGCATGCGTCCCGAAAACCTAATTTGGCACTTTCACCCACCCAGTACAGCGTGGCCCCATAGGGAGCCCCACCGACGGCCCCAGTGGGACCGCCCGCATGCGTCCCGAAAGCCCAATTCGGTTTTCACCCACCCAGTGTAGCGTTTCGTGGCCCCATAAGGGAGCTCCACCGAAGCTCCCAGTGGGACCGCCCGCATGCGTCCCGCATGCGTCCCGCACGCGCCCACTTTGGTATTTTCACACACCCAGTACAGCGTTTCGTGGCCCCACAGGGAGCTCCACCGAAGACCCCAGTGGGCGCCAGGGGCAAGGGGCTCTGCGGGCCGCGCGCCCGCCGAAGCCCCCTTCGAGGGCGCCGCAGGCCATCCGTACGCTTCTCCCGGCAGGTTCGTGCTTCTCTGGATGGTTTGAGTGGCAGACAGACAGCCCAGACCTCCTAGGTGGGGTCGAAGTAGATGGGGTCGGAGGATCGCGCCGCATCGCCGATGCGTCGGCGATGCTGCTCGATGTGGGGCCCGCATTTCTCCACGCCGATGGCGCCGATGCATCGCCGGAGTCGCCAGTGCATTGCCGATGCATTGCCGCCATCTACTCGGACCCCGTCTGGGAGGCCTCTAGACAGAGGCCTGGTCAAACCACATGGGTTGGCCCGCAAACGGGCGAGGCTAGAGCGCAGTGGCCTGAACAAGCATGCGCGCAACGGAGAGCAAGCGTTGTGCCTCCGACAGGGAGGTGAGGAGAGAGGAGGAGAGGGGGGGCGGTTCTCACGCGTGAATGCAATACTCGACGAATGCGTCGTCGCCACGTTCGTGTGCAATGTCACGTTCGTGTCCACTGTCATAGATGCATGAGTGACGTTTGCGGAATTTAGTGTGGAGCCGACCACTGGATCATCACAGCACAATTTTGTTCGGCATTCCCGCGGAGAAAGTTTCCATGATGTCGAGCGGGAACGGTTCGCGAGCTTCCTGTCATGCATCATCGTGCGATACGATTTCCGAGACGTCAGATTCGAACAGGATCGATACCGACATTCCGATACACCAGTTCGCTTTCGAGTTCACCCGATCCAGCGCCGCTAGGGGTGGGTGGGTCCGGCGCCGACCCCAGAAAGACCGCGCGGCCATCCGAAGTTTTGTGCTTGTACCGCTTACTGCTCTTCTCCGGGCACAACAGGAACCACAACCACTACAACGTCTTTTTTTTTGGAGGGCCCCTCGGGGAAGAACCTACCGACCTCGAGACGAACACTCTGGTAGTGGTTGTGGTCGTTTTGGTCTTCCAGGGACGGCCATATCGAGCAGAACCATTAACCCAGAGAAGTATTTAAGACCCCCACAAGATGCGTTATCCCCGCACCCGAAAGATGATGTGGCTATCGCCTTAGCGTCGCGCGCATTCGCTTCAAAAGCTTGCAAGAGTTTCACGGATGAGGGCGGTCTGTGGCTCCCGCCTTAGCGCCGCGCACATTCGATTTCAATATTGCAAGAGTTTCACGGATGGAGGGCGGTTCGTTTTCAAAATGTGGCTCTCGCCTTAGCGCCGCGCACATTCGTTTTGAAAACGTTGCAAGAGCTTCACGGATGGAGGGTGGCTCGTCTTCAAAATGTGGCTCTCGCTTCAGGGCCGCGAGCATTTGCGTTGAAAACAACTCAAGAGTCTCAGGGATTGAGGGCGGCTCGTCTTCAAAATGTGGGTCTCGCTTCATCCCCGCGCACATTCGTTTCAAACATGTCCAAGAGTTTCACGGCTGGAGGGCGGCTCGTGTTCAAAATGTGGTTCTCGTTTCAGCGCCGCGCACATTCGTTTTGAAACCGTTGCCAGAGTTTCACGGATTGAGGGCGGCTCGGTTTCAAAATATTGCTCTCGCCTTAGCGCCGCGCACATTCGTTTCAAACATGTCCGAGCGTTTCAAGGATCGAGGGCGGCTCGTTTTGAAAATGTTGTTCTCGCGTCAGCGCCGCGCACATTCGTATTGAAAACGTTGCCAGAGTTTCACGGCTGGAGGGCGGCTCGTTTTCAAGATGTGGTTCTCGCTTCAGCCCCGCGCGCATTCGTCTTTAAAACGTTGCAATGGTTTCACGGGTTGAGGGCGGTTCGTTTAAACATGTTGCTCGCGCTGCAGCGCCGCGCACATTCGTTTTGAAAACGTTGCCAGAGCTTCACGTATTGAGGGCGGCTCGTGTTCAAAATGTGGCTCTCGCTTCGGCGCCCCGCGCATTCGTTATGAAAGCGTTATAAGAGTGTCACGGCTGGATGGCGGCCCGTTTTCAAAATCTTGCTTTCGCCTTAGCGTCGCGCACGTTCGTTTCAAAGAATTTGCAAGTGTTTCACGGGCTGGGGGCGGCTCGTTTTCAAAAGGTGGGTCTCTCCTCAGTGCCGCGCACATTCGTCTTGAAGACGTTGCAAGAACTTCGCGGATTGAGGGCGGCTCGTCTTCAAAATGTGGCTCTCGCCCGAGCGCCGCGCTCATTCGTTGCAAACATTTGCAAGAGTTTGACGGATGGAGGACGGCTCGTTTTCAAAATGTGGTTCTCGTTTCAGTGCCGTGCACTTTCAGTTCGCCTCAAGCATCTGCTTCAAACATTAGCAACTCGCTTGTAATATTTGCAACCGTTTCACGGATTGGGGCTTGCTCAGTCTGCCAGCGACAGCAGCCCTCAGTCTTTTAGGGTTTGTTTTTTCTAATGCTGAACCTACTGTGACTCGGGCGCCCAGCCTCCAGCAGCATTACGTGCCTCCAGGCTTCACCCGCAACCATTGGCGCTTTCACTTTTCAGCGCGTGCGGTGCCCAGCCGAGGAACGGCTTTCCGCGCTTGAGATCTCATGGTGCAGCCATCTTTGACAAAACAAATTTCTTGCGGGAGGAGGAGGAGGGAGGAGGACAGGGCGGGGGACGAGGGAGGGGAGGAGGAGGAGGGGGAGGAGGAGGATAGGGGGGAGGAGGGCCCTCCAGCAGCCCTCGAAAGTGGTACAATTTCGCAGTTATCAGGCCACCAGAGATGGCGAAGCACCGGCTCGCAGCCACTACCAGACAGCTCGCAGCTACTCTATCAGAGAGCTCACCTACCAGAGAGCGCGCCCTATCAAACAGCGCAACTACAGTCAGCCCACATAGTAAGGGTGAGCGGTTTCGCAGAATTGCCCTTGCATGTTTCACACCTGGCCCATCCTGGGCCGCTTTCGCTGGCCGCGCACCATGCGCAAATTGCTTGCGTGGCTCAACAAAGCCATTGCGCCCGTCATGTGCGTCTTTATTATTCGGGTTGACTGGCTGTAGCCCAGGCGCTTTGGTTCAGGCAATGGAGGCTTTCCCCTTGCAGTCAGCGCCGTCAGCGCTGTCAACGCCGTCGGCGCCGTCAGGCTCAGTGCATTCAGCGCCGTCAGCGCAGCGTTTGTGGCAGTTGCTGTGGCAGTTGCAGCAGGGGCAGGAGCCGTGCATTAGTATTCAGGCACTGGTCAGTTCGCGGTCGTCATCAGCGCGTGTCGGTTGGTATGCGTGGCGCATTGCTTTTATGAGGCACCTCGCCAGATGATGTCAGCAGTGGAGGACTGGGACCAGAACGTCGACTGTGATCATGGCAGTAGGCATCCCTGCCACATCAGCGCCCAGTACGCGCGCAACTCGTTCAGCCGCTCTCGTGAGGCGGTTGCGAGTCAGCAGCGCGGCTCGCTGCTGAACTCAACGATCGGGCGCGCGAGGGTTGACCGCGATTCTAAGGCCATGCTGAGGGTTCGGGTCCAAGGCAAGTGGGCGTCATAATTCCTCGCCGTGGACGACGGGCGCGAGCCGAGTGTGAGCATCAGCGAAGAGATCGAGAATTTCAGCCTGGCGCAGCGCGTGGATTTTTACGCACTCACGGAGTAAGTATGCTCAGCCCTCAGTGCTTCAGGCTTTGCTGAGCTTTCGGTGCCTTCGGTGTTCGGAGTTTTTCAGGTAGTCTCAGTGTTTGCGGCGCTCGGCTCCAGGCTAAGTTCTCCAGTGCTTGCAGCGCCCGGGCGCTTCGGTTTGAAGAGCGAGCGGGGGTGCCATTCGCTCGGCCGAGGAACGGCGAACGGCTTTCAATGCTCAGGATTTGCTGAGGCCGCAGTTCACGACCGCGTGGCCAGCGAAATCAGCCAGCCGTGCTTGCAGCGCCCAGGCCTCAGTGCTCTACCGGTTGGATGAGCGCCTCAGGCTTAGTTTTCCAGTGCTTGCAGCGCTCAGACACATCAGTAAAATACGAGTTACAGCCGCTCTTTCAACCGTGAGGCAGCGAATGCAGCCAGCGTCGGTATCCATATCAGCATCGCTCATTATTCGGAGCTGCTCGTACTCGCGGCTCGTTGGTTAGCGGTTAGGGCTCAGGGGGCCCCAATGGACTCATGAGGTTCATGGGGCTCATTGGGCTCATGAGGCTCAGAGGGTTCAGAGGGCTCATAGGGCTCGCGGGGCTCGTGAGGTTCATAGGGATCAAGGGCCTCATGGGGCTCGCAGGGCTCGCGGGGCGCATGGGGCTCGCAGGGTTCACGGGGCTCATGGGGCTCGCGGGGCCCGTGGGGCCAGTGGGGCCCGCGGGGCTCGGGCGCAACAGTTCCGCGTGAGCGGGGATGTTCCGCCCGATCAGCACAATGACGGCTTTCAGTGCTCAGGACTCATTGGGGCAGCCGTTTTTTTCAGGCCTGTGGCAGCGAAGTGAGCCAGCATCCGCATCCGCATCAGCATCGCCCATACCCTGAGCACCTCGCACTCGCGACTGCTCCGTTCTACGTTGTAGTTCTTCCTGCGAGTAGTTGTGCTTCCTCCAATTCTCGCCGCGGCTCGTGCCGCTGCGATTAAATCGTTAGTCGGACTGCTACCACTAGTAGTAATATGGTTCAATCGTCTTCCTAAGCATTCGTTCTGCTGGTTAATTTTGCGACTTCAATTAATAATGCCCCCAGCGCTACCGCTCGAGTTATTGTTATTTTTGCGATTCTTGCCAGGGGCTTCGATGCGGCCGTGCCTCTTCTTAGTCGTGAGTCTGGTAGTGTAATCTTGTTCTTGTTATCAAGGATATCTTCCTGGGTGCGCCCAGAACTGCCATTCGCCTATTTAAAGTACCATTATTTTTAACATTGCCGACATTCTTACTCGTGCGCCGGTTATTACTAAGACGTACTTTTGTCGCGTCGCCGAATGGTGGGGATTTCCGCGGTCCCAGGTGCTAGGGGCAACGTTCCGTGCGGGGCGGGTGCGACGCCCTGGGGTGGGCCGCCGCCTAGGGCGACCGACGCGAATCAATTTCCCACTCAGGATTGCGAGGGGAACCGCGCGGGGCGGGGGCGGTTCGGAGAGGGGGGGAAGGACGCTTTGGATTCGAGTTCTTCTCGAAGAAGTATAACTTCGTGCTACTTAGTGCCAGTGCTACTCCTGATCGTATGTCTGATGTTCCTAGTGACGTTATATATATATATATATATATATGCCTCCTCGCACCTGCCAGGTGGTCGACCTTCGGGTCTTGCCTTCGGGCTCCACCCGACAGGAGGCGGGGGGGCGGCGGAGAAGGGGATTGGCCTCGCCCTCGGAAGCCAAGGACTGCTGAAATCGCCGTTCCCCGAGTTTTTTCAACGTTCAGAGGCTCCTTATTGCCCTCGTGGTGCAGGGCAGCCCCTAAGTCCCCCACCACAGGGCGCTGCAGACTGCCTGTGGGCCCCCCCCAGCATATGCGGCTGACTCCTAAACGTAGGCCCTCAGGGTAAGGTTAGAAAGCCAGCAAACTTTAACCCAGGTAGGAGTGCTGGCCAGAGTGACCAACACACCTTTTTTTTCAGGTGCTGACTTGTGGAACACTGTCCCTCAGAGCTTGATATATATATATATATATATATATATATATATATATTATATTTATATATATATATATGCCACTCCTATTATTGCGACAGCATTGCAACGGCAATCATAGCGATTACTAGTCGGTTTATTGTAATTCTTCTTGATGTATTCAGAATTCCTCCATCGCCTCGTCGGATGGCGGAAATAGATTCTTTTCCGCGCTCCTGCGATTTTTCGAGGGCGGGAACTATTGATTCTATTTTCGCGCTTCTGTGGTGCTGGCGATATCGCTCCGCGCGGGGCGGCCCCCGCCGACTGCCGACGAGCGTCAATTACTCATTGGGGGTGGCAGTGGGAACCTCGCAGGGCGGGGGCGGTGGGCAGAAAGAGAAAAGAAGTTTTCGATTCGACCACCTCTCTCAAAGTATTGCAGCCAGTGCTGCGCAGTATCGCTGCTAGTCGCTAGTAATGATACTAGTGCTGTTATTGTTTCAACTATCATTCACGACCGTATATGACTGCTACGACAGCAATTGGCAATGAACGATTGTGCGAGTACTGTTCCTGTTCCATGTTTCATTATTACTTCTAAGACCCTCTCTTTTATCTACCGCTCCAAATTTCATTCGAAGTATTGTTGTAATTGAAGTAACTATATTATCCGTATCCGTATTATGACGATTGTCGTTGTTGCTGCTGCTGCTGCGTGCCGTGCTCGTGGAGTACGACTGGGGTGACCCGCGCTGACTATGGCGGGGGGCTTGGACCGGTGTGACCCACTTCCTTGGAATGTCTTGTGGTTTCTTATGGTGCTATCCGTGGCCGCGCAGGCTCAGGCAACTAGTTCGCCAGAGCAAAGCCGTGCCCTCCGCCCCGGCGCGTCGGGCTTCAGACGGAGCTCAGCGGCCCGCGCGACCTGGCGTCTGAGTCAGCACTGGCGCGCGTCAAGTTTG